CCCCAAAACCCCAAAACCCCAAAACCCCACTTATCCGTATTAAAGAAGTTATTGTGAATAAATAAATTAATAAGTATTATTGTGCTAATCTATGTTTGAGTTGATTCAGGCTCATTAACTTTAAAAATAGTTGAGCCAATTTTTATCATCAATTGCTATTTAGACTATCTTCCATTTAATTTCTATTATTATGATTATTATAAACCCTCATCTTCTCTTAATAATTCTTACTTGTATCTACTCATTCAGTCATGCAAAATAAACGCAAAGAAGCTTAATGATTGACTAAACAGTTAAATGCTTTTCTCCTTAACCATAGAGTCCATTCCCATAAATTATTGGAGGAAATATAGATAATACTGAATTTTCATGTATTTAATACAACTCTTAAACGAAAAGAATTCTTGCAACCGGAGCATCTTCTTCGACAGATATAGTTACCTCAATTTCAACTCCTATCATCACATATCTTGATGAGAACACAGGAAGATTGATTTGGTAGAAATAGTACACTTATAATCCAGGATTATCGCAGGTTACTCCATTTACCTTTTCAAAATGCAGTATCTAAAAAGGTTAATAGAATTATGCCTTGGCAATGTCATAGAACCCTTAATTTGGAATATTTGTTATTGATTTAAGTAATGGAGATCTGGTGAAAGCATTTTACGAATTTAGTTCTACCTCACTCTCAATTAAGAACTCAAGATATGCTATCGGCATAATTATGACTTAATCTAACATAATTTATGTATTTAGTGGGGAATCAGACAAAGTAATGGTCAGTGCCTTATAATTTGATTAGACAAAAAATTAGATAAGTCCAGTATATTATAGAACTTATGGAACCTCAACTAATAAGTTCTATGGATATGATATCTCTCTCACTGCAGCACTAGACTATGTTTACATAGCAGGCAGTGTAAAATAGCTATTGGCAATGACTAAAATTTCACTTTCAACAGGGACATCTGCATATACTTATATGATAGACAACATTTCTGGAAACTCTGCCTTAAAAGCATTAACAAAAATAGAGATCTATGAATACCTACTCTAAATATTTTAAATAACTTGCGCTGAGAATTTAGGTCCTGATGGCAATGATGTAGCTTTGCTCGATTTCTCAGAGACTCTTGGAGGCGTTATTACCCTAGCTAAAACATGGTTTTTAGACATGAGTTCAAAAACAAGGTGTCTATCAGTAAATTTTAATAGCATTACTGTTTGGTTTCTAATCTATGTTGAATAGAATTCTGCAATTTATTATGGTAAAACTGACACTTTATTCGCTGGTACAACCCTAACTCTAAATTAAATAAAAGTGAGCTCATCACTTACACAGACATTGATTGCAAAAGATGGTTATATATCTGAAGATGGATCTAAAGCTATTTGGTTGGGATAAGTGTCAGCCATTAATTAAGATACTTATAATAAAAAAAGCGGATTTTTAATGAATTATCCATAAAACTCATGTTTATCAAGTGCATTAACTACTAATATGCAGTAATCAGTAAAAACTTAGAGTCTGTTTATACTGCAATTTGGATCTGTTGCTTTCTCAAACCCGAGTTAGGCAGTGTATTCATCTATGTCAGATAGCATAGTTTACAAATAAATTGATAGTATTCAAAGTTAATCACTGAAAGATATTGATATCATCAAGCTCCCAGATGAATGTTAAGCATTAATGACACCGGGAAGTATTATCAAACCGATTCTAAATTCTCTATAATATTCTTATCAAATTCTTGAGCTTAATCCTTAGACACTAAATATAGACATACCGGATTTTAAATACTCAATCGATTGTGATGATTTAGTCTGGGCTTATTATTCAACTCTGTCTAATTAATAAACCTTGCCGACTTTTATTGAATTCAAGCAAATAGAAAGTGGTGGCTCAAGAATCACTATTAGTACTAATGATAATACAACTGCTGGAATTTATAGCATAAAGATTAGAGGTGTTCTGAATAATATATATGAGGAAAATATATTAATAACACTTACAATGCTAGGTATTCCATCTACTATGATTGATATACCACCTGTTGAAATCGCTTAGAATGAAACCAACAATGTAACTGAAAATCAAATTGAAAATAATAACTCAGTCAATTCAAACACAAGCATTTAAAATAATTAGACTAATTCTTCAGATATAAATGACTAAGAAAACTCAACTCAAAACAGTAATATAAGTGAATCTAATTTAAACAATACATAAACAGAGCAAATTCAAAACTAGACTTAATTAGAAAATAATTAAACAAATAATTTAAATAGTACTAATTCTTCTACAAATGACAATTAAACTTTGGCTAATCAAACGACAAATGAAACTTTTAACTCAAATTCAACAGAGAATTCTACAAACATCTTAAATGATACAACTGAAACTAGCAACGAAACAAATCCTGCTAATTAAACAGATAATCTTGAAAATACGACTAATATCACAGAAAATAATTAAACAAATATCTCAAATCCTACAAATGAGAGTAATCCAGAAAATTAGACAATTATATTTGAGAATAATAATACTAACATTTCTAGTGGAGATCAGAATAATACTAATTAATCTGCTTTATCTTCAAATAGTAGCTCAAATAATTCCTCAATCAATGATACATAATCTAATCAAGTAAACTCTAATGTTACTTAAGTGAATAGCACAAATAATTAAAATGATAACTAAACTAATTAAAATCAAACTGATCCTTCGAATGATGCTATATAAAATATCACTCCCGATAGTAATATAACTTAGAACTCGAGTACAATCTTAAATAATACAATTGAATCCTTAGATAATTAAACTCATCCAAATAATACTAATTTAGATAATAGTACTTCAAATTTCAATTAAACCGGGAATAATGATACCTAGTAATCTCAAAATAATTCGAGGGATAATCATACGAGTAGTTAAAATGAAACAATAGAACAGTAAAATAGCACATAAAATTAGAATGATACAATCGTTCAACTAGAGCCAAATGAAAACTAAACGAACAGCGATTAGTATTAAAATTCCAGCAATACTGAAAATAAAAATACTACTCAGTAAAATGTCACTTAAAATCTAACTGAGAATAATTAAAATTCCACAAGCCTAAATGAAAATGCAACTAATGTGAATTCTAATTAAAGTAGGACCAACTAATCTAATACAACATATATGAAATAAAAAAATGCTCCTTATTTTAATGATGATCTTGCAAAAGAAATCATTATTTACGTCAAAGAAATTTAATCCTATAAACTTCCTTAAATTGTGAATCCAGATATTAATAATAATGCCGTTGAATTAAGTTATAACATTTAACCTAATATTAGTTTACCTACATTTGTTAAAATTTAATCAAGGGGTTTCTAACTTGACCCTAAAAGCGGTGACTAAGGTACATATAACTTGGTAATCATTTTGAGTAATCGAAATAGCGAACCATTATTGTAATCTTAATACTTGTTAAAGATTATTGTAAAACCCTTAGATAACAAAAGAGATATTCAAAAATTCCTGTAATCTTTGAATTAAACAAAAAATGAGGCAAAATCAAACAATACATCAATTTAAATGATAGATTCAGATTTTAAAATTTAGATAGACTCAATAAGTCAAAGATAAAGATTAAAGTTAAGCTTTAGCCAACCTTTGTTAGTTCAGTTAACAGATGATTAAATCAATGATCTCTTAATACTTTAGGCTAATGATGGATAAGGAATTTCAAAACTAAAAGGTTGGAACATTGTTAGTACAAATTTGAATGGAATTTTAATACAACTTAATTTCTACAATAATTATGAGGTTTCATCAAATTAAGATCCAGATTACATAAGCATTAGCCTAAATAATACCAAGAGTGTAATATCATCGAAATCACTCTTATACATGGATAAAACTCTCAAAATATCTATGAAAATTCCAACCTAATTTGACAATGATGGTAAGAATATTAGCTCAATTAACACATTTTAGAATAAATGAGAATCAGTAATTACCAAAATAGCTTGATTTCAATAATTTTGACTTCAGTTATATTTGGTAGTCTAGCAATGAGTGCCACAGTTGGCACAAGTCTACAATTGCTTTGGGGACTTATTAACAATCTATAACTAGTGACTCATACACCTCTCTTCAAAATACCTTATTCAGCAAATATTTTGAATTTTCTCAGAGCATTATTCAGTATAGTTAATTTTGATGTCATAGGAACTAGCACAATTTTAGAGAAAATATTTGATTTATAATCTTCTGATGAATATCCTGCTTTTAATGACAATTTTACATTTCTGGGATATGATAATTCAAACTTTATATATCTTATTGGTTTTCCTATGTTGATACTAATCGCCAATTTATTTTTATCCTTGATGTATTCAGTTGTTTCTAGGATTAATCTTAAATTGTAAATTTAGTTTTGTTTTATTTTTTTAGATTTGAATTTGTTATAAGTAAGATGAAAAGTTATCTTTTCTTTAGTTTCTACATTAGATTCTTTATTGAAATTTCATTAGAAGCAAGTTTCTCCTCAATTATTGCATTTAGTGAATTGAACTTTAAAACTAACGGAGATTACTTTGCTATTGCATTGGCAATTATTTCAATAAGTTTAAATTGTTGCTTTATTTTCTTGCTTCCTTGGCTATTGTATAAATACAGATAAGATCCTAAAAATGAATAAAACAAACAATATTTAGCTGAAATTTTAGAGGATACTAATCCAAATAACATAATGATGATATTTTATCATTCTTTTTATGTACTAAGAAGATTCATCTTTGTTGGAACTACATTCCTATTTTAGGATAATTTGAACCTTTAAATAATAATTTTTAGAGTTTTTAGTATTCTAAATTTAAGTTATCTTTTAAACGGGAAACCAAAACTTGAATCTCTTAGAATTGAGGTTTTTAATGAGTTATGTACGCTATTTTTAAGTTATATCATGCTTGTGTATACTGATTTTGTCAAGAATTGTGAAAATAAGCACTTGTTTAGCTATGTATTTATCTCAATCTACATTTTCAACTTGTTTATAAACGTAGTTGTAATAATTAAAGATGCTTTTCGAGCTATCAGATTAAAATCCAAAATGTTGTTGTTCAAATTGAGATTGAAAAGAGCTGTTAAATGTAAAATAGAGAATCAATAAAGCAACTAGTAAAGAAAAAATGACAATTAAAAATATTCAAGAAAAAAAGATTAGGAAAACTTTGGAAAAGGATTAACTGTAATAGGTGAAAGAGATAATGAGGAAACTGAAGAGATAAATGAATCTTCTAGCAGTAGACAAATTAACTACTTAGAAATTAGCCAATCTATTAAACCTCTAATTTAAGTAGGAAGAGGAATAAGGAAGCAGAGTAAGATTTACTTGAAAAATTAGATTGATATTTCAAAGAGAAATATAAAACATCAGTTTCAAATTAAACTAGAGGAACTTGATGGCAAACCTTAGATAGAATCTTTAAACTCAGTTAGTGATTCAAATAGTAATGATAGTGTAAATTATAACTTTAATTTAATTATATATTAGGGAGATAATAGGATCGGCTCAGAGTTTGAAAGTGGCAGATCAACTAGAATAATTAAGGAGTCTTATACGCCTAATGGCTTGAGAGAATCGCCCTTTCAAAACAATGATTATCTATCATCGTATAATTTACCAAAATTTTTGCAAACTCAAAGTAATCAGGACTTATCACAAAGATATCAATCTTCTTAGAATAGTGAAAGCCCTTCAAAATATGCTAGTGGTGCTCAATAAAAAGTTAGAATCATTCCTAGTCAAAATTTGATTTAAAAGTAAAATCATAGACTAAGCTAATTTTATCCCTCTCTAAAACCTTCATCCATAAGCAATGCAAGTAGTTATAAATAATCAATCTACAGATAAGAGGAAGAAAATGATCTTGAAGATTTAAAAATTGATATACTCTCAAATGAAACTTAACGCGAAGGGGATAGAACTTAAAGAGATAATTAATAAAATAAAACCCTAGAAGATTCTAATAGAGGTTTTATAAACTATTTAAAACAAGATTTACCATTAATAAGAAATTACTAAAGAGAACCAAGGAAAAAATTGAGTCAGTTATAATCTTAAAATCACAACAAAATGTTCAGTTAAATAGGGTTAGTTCTCTACCCTGATGCTCTACCTAAACTAGATAAAAGTAGTAATTCCTTATAAGTTTCAAATCCTTAAGAATAATCAAGGCAAGCAGGAAGTAGTTTTAGCCAAATAATAAGTTAAAACCTGAATATTTACAAAAGAATTGTTTAGGATAAAATGATGACACCTTAAATCAACAAAGGAAAAATAGCTACTTTAAAAATTAGTCAAAATATTTGAAATTGGTGAATTCTTTGAAGAATAATAAAATCAATTTTTAAAAGTGTAAATAAGGGAAATCAAATAGATTAATGATAATTAATAAAGATTGATTAATTTTTATTCAATAAGTTTCAAAGCTATTATCTCAAAATATTTAAGGGGTTTTGGGGTTTTGGGGAGATCGGAAGA